TGGGATTTAAAGGCCCATTTAATTGGACTAACAATCAGATGGAATGGAGTATTAGGCACACTTTTTCCTGGGTGTTGTTTCACAAGGAAATTTAATTTGCAGTCTCACTTCATGACCGATACAAAAAAAACTAAAATTTCAGATGTAAAAGATTCCCGAGAAGATTCCTTTATATTTTTCCACTTCGCCTAAAATTCTATATCAAATAAAAAATATCCAGATACTGTTTTTGACAAACCAATAATAATTGTTCTTAGAAAAATAATTTAAATTTATTCTTCTGTGTGCAAAGTTTCAGGCCAAAAAAAATTATAATTTACCTTTTTTTCTTAGAAATAACATAAGGAACTCAGTCGGGTCGAAGCTTTTCCGCCCAGTCCTGAAGATGTGAAAATAATATCAGGGAGGGACCCTGACAGCGAATCCGCTCCTACAGAGCCTAGACCGAGAGCAACAAGGGCAGGTGAAATATTCCTAGTTCATTTGTCAGGCAACCAATTGTTTGTCTAACAAATTATGCTTGGCACAATCCAAGGGACATTCCTTTTTTTAACCATCCAAAAATCTAATCTCCAAAATGCCATGTTGTGATAATATTAATAAATAAAATATCCCTCTTATTTCTCCCTTTCGCAATTGCAATATGAACGATTAATAGAAGGAGCCTATAATAAATTAAAATTACCTGAATCACACCAAATTCCGCACTGCTGCACTGCACTGCTAGGCCATTTGTTGACAACCGAAAAAGTCCAGTGCGGCTGTGTTTGTGCCGCGTTTGCCCGCGCGCTCATTCTTCAACTGGGCGACTAGACCTGTATATGGGTAGGTATGACAAAATAAAAATGGGAACAAGTTTTTCAAATATTTCAATGCCAAGTTGCAGCGTCAGCGACAGCGAAACCTGGTACATACTGCCAACTTGGTTCATCAATTGAGATCGGAAAGACTTTTAACCGAATCTTCTCAATTGTCTTTTCTATTCGCAAATGCCTTTGCAATTTATTTTTTTATTCTTACATGCTTTTTGGTATCTCGAAAGAAATAGGAGAAAGATTAGTGCACCTGGTACATATAATGTGTATTGTTGTTGTTCTTTTAAGAGGAAGAAAAGTGACGTAGTTTTAAAGTAAAGCGAGCATAGGCGTCCATATTTCAACGGGGGCGGGCGGCTAAGTATTGCGAAGTAAAAGTTTGCGAATGATAATGACGTAAAAAGCGGTCACATTTTATATGGAGTTCCTGGGAGTTGTATGCCTTACTAAAATACCATAGAGAGTCGTGAAGCTGAAAATGTCCAACTAAAAGACACGTTCACTCAAACTTTGGTTTTATGAAGAATCCCCTGGGACTCGTTTATGAGAGATAACAATTTCAAGTAGAAAATCTGTACGCTTCCACTCCAATTTCTGTCGCCAGTAGCCAGTTTGTATAATTTCGTCACCTTATCTGCGCTGTTTGAGTCATTTCGCCGCGCGTTTATTTGCTTTTTTCGGAGGGACGGCCACCACAATACACGGGAAATTTCTTATTCCGGTGGCGTCTCTGTCGGGTCAGATTATTTTGATTCTTAACTCGGGGATGGGTATACTATTAGACCTTGATCACAAGCCCGATAATAAAATAAAGTTTTTGCCAAAGCGTTTAGGGACTTTTTAGGTCGTTGACTTACAGATGCTGAATTTTGTATTCCTCCCTTTTTTTTTCATTAAATGAGTTTTGGCGGCGATGTGGGTCAGTTATTTTACTGAACGGTTGGTGTTTTGCACACTGAGAAAAACTAACTAAACTAGAAACAAAAATGATGAATTACCGTAAACATTTTTTTCCACAAATGGAATTAGATTTCTACACCTGTATACTTCTAACAAATACATAAATTCAATTATTCATAAATTATTACTAGCAACGAATAAATCAAAGTTCTACAAAATCCGTATTAAAGTTCTTTGCTCAAACAAGCATTTTTTTGTTCAGTTTGTGCAGTTAGGTATTCTCAAATTTAGTTTCTGTGTAAAATTTTTATTTGAATTTGAGGTTAGATTAGATTAACGTATATAGTTGCATAGCTAGTGAGGGACATCATTTTGAACAAAATGTAATGTTTTTATCGCAAATATGCCAAAATAGCTTAGTAAATGGTTTGTAAATTAATTAAACTTTTTCGTAATTTTATCTCCAATAAAAAATAAACTGTCTATGTTTGCTTTACTCTGAATTTAAATAAAAATAATAATAAACTGTTATAGGTTCACAGTAAAAATTTGCAATTTGTTCATTAACAAGTGACATCTATTTCCGCAATAGCTTTATGATTAGGTATAAAAAGAATGGAAATGCTTGTAAAATGCTATACAATGAAGCAAAGCATGCATTTGGTAAACTGTTTTGCGTAAAATCACTGTTATTATCATACATAATTTTCATAATTTACAGTTTCACACGAATTTATACCCAAACCTAACGATTATACAGTAAATAACAGTAGTAGAGAATAAAACGAGATATAGATGTACATACCTAAACATCTGCTGTAACCACCGCTCGAAAACACACTTGCAAAAAACCAAGTCGTAATACCCTTACTGGAGTTTTCGCTAGACTTTCAGGAACACAGTGAACACACACAACACATTCTGAATATTACAAATATCCGTTTCTGTTTAGAAATTCGCGTTATGTACTTTGCTATTACACCGAACACTTTTCATATGCCACCCACCACAAAAAGTAATTCAACGGCTTCTTTGAGGAAAGCATTTTCATCGCAGAACTCTCTCACCGACGCGAATATTTTGCCTGCACTCAGTGTTCATTAAAACAACATCCGTGACATTACACTTACACATATTAACTTGGAAATTTGCGTTTAATATACGGTAAATATTTATAAACTACTTACATTAACGTACGCAATACGAGCAACTAAAGAAACTGAACCGTTAGAAAAAAACGCTTTGTTGGTGAAAAACTAGGCAACGGCGATATGCATTTGTTTTGAAAACGTTGTGGTAGGCTCGGCACCATTGACTTGATAATACACAACGGACGGACGGATGGAACGTAGAGGCAGAGGGTAAGGGACCAAGATGTAACTACTCTGACGTCACGCGACTTAGGCCATTTGCAGTATTTGCACGCTTATCACGGGTGATTTGTTGTATTCATTACGTGGTATTAAGTGTTATTGTATACTTTAGTATACATCACATATAGATTTAGCAGTAACTCTTTTAACTGTTGTGTTACTACCAGAAAAAGTCAATTTCCTAATCAGAAATGGAGTTTCGTTTTAAATAAATGTCGCGCGATTTGTATCCTGGGTCACATGACTTAGGACAAATCGCTACAATGCACAGAACAAGGGCGTCGCCAAAGGGGGCAGCTGCCTCCCCCTAGAAATTCGAAAAAAAAACAAAAATTTTCTTAAGCTAAGAAAATATTTGATTGGAAATTTTTAGTAAAATGTTTTATTTCCTTAAACTTTAATTTTGAAAATTAATACACTACTTTATTGTTTTAAAAAACAATTGTAATAAATTGGTATAAATATTTGATGACAAAAGAATTTAAAAATATAAAATTTTATGGTAAAAAGTAATACATTTCCATATTTTAAAAAAGATTTCAATAATAAAGTGATCCACAAATTTTCAAAAAATCCGAGGTTATGTTTTACCTAATTTTCGTTGAATTTCTTAATATTTTTAGTTATTTACTTTTATTGTATTTTTCTTGTATTAAAAAGGTTCTATTAAAAATATTAGTGTATTGTAGCGATTATAATACAGCGCCTTCATATCTGTTTACAAGACACGTGACTGTCGTACTTGGGCAGCGAACATTGGAGAGCTGATACTGGTAACAACAAAATCCCTAAATCCTGGCGTCACCAATATTGATAATTCGTTTACAATTAACAATGACAAACCACTACGTCTACGCGTGAGATTTTAGTTTTTCTGCCCTGCAGCGTGACCAAAACTGATATCGTAGAACAAAAACATAATTTTTTATAGCAGCAAAATGTGTTGAGCTAACTTGATGTAGATAATTCGATTTATTTTCAGTCAAGGTAGCTATTGAGGTCACTTCTGGACATACTGTACAACAAGGCCCAGGATCTGTACTTCTACAAGAGCGCTTGTATAACTCGAGCTAACTCCCATTTGTATGTGAAGTACTTCTTTCAGTAACATTCAGAAAACTTCCCGTAATAACATTTATTAAAGAAAAGTATGTGAAATAATGACTGCTAGCGCAGCGCTTTTTCCTTTTCAACCAAGTTTTCTGTTGAGTCAAAGGGTGCCCTTGAGGTATGTTTACGTACTCTAGAGCAAAATAACCGTCATGTAAAAAATATATCATTCTACTGTAGGCAGATATCCTCTAAATTGGCTGTTAAGCATGTAAAGGTAATTGGATAAATACCTAGATATAAGCACATTATTTCACATTAGATTGAGAGGTACATTGTAAGTGAAAAGATGGGTAAATCTTTGTAGTATCGATTAGTAGTTTGCTGCAACCAGTACTACACCCGCTTGAAATGCCGGTTGCAGGGAAAGTTACTCTCCCAACAAAAATTCTAGGTATTCCGTCGTACACATTTACTAATCTTTATGTCTACCATTCATAACCTTACCTCCTAGTAGTGACACTGTCAAAAACACATGTTTGTGTTGTTCTTTGTGTTTTAAAGGCGAAGAGGACCCTCTGGTGTGAATTTATGAAAGAAAGGCTTGGTAATTAGTGAAGAGCAACGATGTCAGGTAGGTGTCTATTTATTATTTCATAAATTTGAGCATGTTCAGGGGAATTTTTCGGAATGAAATATCTGACACCAGACTAAGGTTATCTAAATTTATTTTTAAACACTGTTTAACAAAACGATTTAACAACAATTTGGAAAAATAACAAATTTTTTACCTACACAATAAACACTTAAAACACATATTTCTTAGGAAATATCCTTTCCAATTTCATCATTTCGATTTTTTTTAATCCAGTTTCTCCCCCTTAAAGACTGCCTGAATGATATTCGCGTAATTAAAATGCTGTGTCACAACGAAGTGCATATTATTTATGGAAAACTGGTTCATTCTTATCACGTTGGGAATGGCGGAACCCACAATTTTTTTGCTGAACCCAGAAATTCCTTCATAAACGTACACGATGAGCGGTTCTGAAGGATTGTCTGTTAAAATGTACAGGACTAATTCTTCAGAGGGTAACACGCTGAATTCTAAATGTGTGGGGGTGGCTAAACGGATGTTTTGCCATATTTTGAATTCCTGCGTCTTTTTATCGAACCTGAAAGTGATAAGAAAACCTCACAATTTATTTCGGAATTTAAATGTTAGTAGTCAGTAATTTGTTTTTAATTAGCGTAATTAGTAAAATAGTAATTTAAAGGGAAATGCAAAAATACACCAGATATGTGTGTGTTTTTATACAGGGTGTCCCGAAATTAGGGGACAATATTTCCACAGAGTCTATGTCGAAAAAGATTACTTTTTCTTTATATAAACGTGGGTACAAAATTCTTCCTAAAGAATTTATAGCCACTTAAAGGGACCACTCTGATGATGGTTCATTCTAAATAACTCCGAAACCAGTTGAAATAAATTAATGAAATTTGGTAACCAGCTTAACTCTTACGTGCTTAGTCCGCTACTAAAATAATGGAAACAAATTTTCATGAGATACGTTCTAACACTGGGGGGAAGGGGTAAAATTTACCGTAACTTTTTTATGCTTTTACTTTTTTGAGTTTTTAATAAAAAAAGGGTATTCTTGGTTCAGTTTGGTAGAATGTTCAATTTCTGTGTAAAATCCGTCTAAAAATAATGTTACATCACCGAGAATCGAAATTGTCAATATTTTTTATCATTCGCGGGTTTTGAATAATAAAAATTCGTTTGCCGTCATTTGCATTGACAGTTCAGTTATTTACTTTTTGCGAATTGTTATCCGTCGAAAATGCATCATTTTACGAATGTAGACCTATTTGTAACACCCATTTCTGGTCAGACAAAAATCCACGGGCAATACGGCTCACAAATTTTCAGAATAGATTTGCAATAAATGTGTGGACAGGAATTTTAGAGGACCAGCTACTTGGATCAATACATTTTCCCAATTGTCCGACTCCATAAGGATATTTAAACTTTCTGCAAAATGATGTAAGAGAACTATTGGACGATACACCGTTAAACGTTACACTGTCAACAAGATGGGGCACCATCTTACTTTACCCATGTTATAAATTGGTTAAACGATCATTTTCCTGGTTGGTGGATAGGTAGAGGCGGCTACATTCCGTGGCCACCTCTATCTCTAGACCTAAATCCTCTAGATTACTTTCTGTGGGGTAGGATGAAGGCTGTAGTTTACGCTGCAGAAATAAATCCTTTGGAAGAATTACAATAGAGGGTTTATTTGGCTGCGAATCAAATCAGACAAAATAATTTTGAAGTTTTGAGGTCTTCGCGGGCAATTCGACGTCGAGCTGAAAACTGATTTCAGCAAAATGGACATCTTTTTGGGCATTTACTATAAAAATTACTATTGAGATAAAAAAGGTTTATTAATAGTGTAGTTTTCATTTATTTTTATTAGTTTATTGTATGACTATTTAATAATTTCAATTGCTTTCTTTTCTTTCAGTCAAAAGTCAGAAAAGTCAAAGCATAAAAAAGTTATGGTAAATTTTACCCCCTTCCCCCCAGTGTTGGAACGTATGTGATGATAATTTGTAATTTCGTTTTAGTAGCGGACCGAACACGTAAGAGTTAAGTTAGTTACCAAACCACTGTTATTCTTTTATGTGCTAATAGAGAAACAGGGAAGATTTACTGAAATAATAAGTTTTCTGTAATAACATATCCACAGCTAATACGAGACAAGGTTGATGATAATGGCAAACGATTCGAATACAAACTTTTAAAATGAAATTAAAATGCATGTAATCAGATATTAGCGAAATTACTTATACAGTTCGTATAATTCACATCTTTTATTAAAACTGATAAGTAATAATCTGCTTATAAGCCTGAAATTGTGAAAAATTTAAGCCCATTCCGTGGCTGTTATTGTTTGGAATAGAAATTATATTAAATATATAGTTTGTAACATTTTAAAGGTAACAAAATAATTCTTACTATTTTTTTTTAATAGAACGCTGTGATTTGTTTAATTGTTTAATTTCATACAAAACTCTGGTACTTCCAGAAAATTCACGATACCTTAAATTATTATACTTAATATTTTTTCTACATCTAAAAGTCAGAGCTGTAAGTGGGGGTGTAAATTGCAGGAAAATGCACCATAATCATTTCTATATTATTTAATTTAATTAAAATTAACCGCAGGGTTATTGAAATATTAATTTGAATTGCATTTCGTGTTAGTTTAAATTGAAACACTTTACAAATAAAGAGAAAATAGCTTTTGTTATTTGTACGTAGGAATAATAAAATTAAAATAACACGGAAGTTCACAATTCACAAAATTAATTTGTGATTATTTTGTGGAATAATAAAAAATTGATTATCATTTCAGTTGTGTGCAAAATTATGTTTTATAGGAGTGTACTCATACAGAATATCTTCTAGATTTTTTGTAATCTCAACAACATGATCTTAGACAATCTACCGACTTGGTATCAAATTTTGGCTGAGTATATCTATGATTTTGAAGTATGTACGTGCCTCACTCCGTTTTTTATTTGTTTAGGCTGAAAGTAAAATGCGATTAACGAAAACGCTGCTAATCGTTAAAAATAGTAGGCGTAGAGCAAGGCATAGAACGTCAATTGAAGAATATATAGGGTGATTCAGTCGTAATGTAATAAAATTTTAAAATGCACATTTATGCTGAAAATAATATTTTCAAATCATTATTTGGAACCGCTCTTGACCGCTGACGCACAAAGGTTTATCGAGAAGGAATCTTGACCCACAGTATTATTCGGTCATTAACCTAACTTTTATTGCACTTTTAATCCGTAATAAACGATAAGGAAAAACAGATCTTTTTACCTAGTGACATGAATGAATAAGATAGTTTTTACATTTTAAATATTAACAAATATAACGATAATAATTGTTTTCGAGTGTTAGGTTACTGCAATTTAGTATTTTTAATATTGTTAACGTTTTCACTATTTTATAATTGAATATGAGCTTTTAGTATTATGCTCAATTAATTATTCTGTTTGTAGTATGTATACCTAGTGATTTATTGCTTTTCAAAGAGTAGTATGGTACCTATCTCTTTAAAATGCCAGTAGAGCTAAAAAATCACTCCTTCGCCCATAGCACTTTGTTAATAAAATTGGGACCTGCTCCACTTTGATTTTGAAACCAATTGCAAAACTCAAGACGACTGAGGAAATCAGCTGTTTCGCTTCAATGTTCGAACGCTCTGTAGTCCGCAGACGCGTTCCCGGTCAGAAAATGTGCTGCGAACTAGGGCATCGAATTAACGGGAGTTAAGGGAACCTTTGCTTATTTTTTAAAAGGTCGAGTAATTATTTTTTTTCAATTTTCGTTTTTATTATTAAACCTTCAGAATACTCGATTAAAATTAATGACATTTTGATTGAATCACCCTTTACATTTTTGAAATTTGTTCATATAAATGTATCCATTTCAATAGAAGTTATTATTAAGAAAAATAAATATCTAGTGGCCCTTCCGTAGCTTCATACCATCTATTGTATTATTTTTCAAATATCTCTAAAGATTCTTTTTCAAGAATTACTACAATTTGTTTCTTTTTATTGTCGGGATAACCTCAAAATTACGTGCCGATCGCTCGAAACTCATTCGCTAGTGCAGCAAACCGATCGGCATACTGATTAATTCGGAAGCTCGGGTACAAGCCCATGCAAATATAGCGACTTAAAAAAACATACACCGGGATGCACCTACCTCCTAATAACCACCCGCCCAAGGTGCATCGTGTTCGGCAGGTGACCGTACGCCACAGCCACGTAGCAAGCGGAGTTGTAAGTAACGGTTGTTAAGCTTATTGGATCGCCCTCATAAATTGTTTGATACAATTCGAACCGGGAAGTTCCATTGTCGAATCTCCATATGCTGGTGCGCGGTTCTTCTGTCCGGGTTGCAGTTTTTATGGTGACCAGGTAGGATAGTCCGTCCACGTTGATGACTGATGCCTGTTAGAGTGTCAGATAAAGGCTCATTTAGCTTAAACAGCATTAACAATTATTTTTTTTCATAGTCTCAAAATCGTTAGAACCAATTTCGTTTAATCTAGTTGGCCATGTACAAAATGTTCGGAAAGATATTTGTGAAAGTGCTCGAAAATCAAATAGACCGTGAAATGTGCAAGTGAACTTGATATTTTAGCATTCCATTGCAATATGTTAAAGTTGTTAGTGAAAGATTTAGAAAACAATAATTTCGTCTTCACCTTAACAATGTAATATGAATTAACCTTGTATTATTCTTGCTTTTAACAGTGAAAGAATTTTTTATAATATTTATAATATAATTTGTTATGAGTATAATGAAATAATTGCGTTTTATAGACAACAAAAAATTTGTTGCAGAACATTTAATAGTGTTAATAATAGTGTTAACTAATATGAACTAACTTTTCAGTAGTAATATGCTGAAAAGAAGGGATTTTGAAAAATATACGAAAATAAGAGGGAATATAACGAAAAACTGACAAATAATCCGCGCCAATACCCTTGGCTGGATAACTGACCTCGGACGGGGCGGGATCGAGCAGGATTATCGCTCTTTATCCACAGTGACAAATAATGGGGAACATTTGGGAATATATACCTGGGAAAATACTCGTTAAGGGGACAACTGTACATTTTTCTGTATAGTGGATAGCGGTTACCAATTTTTGTACCTACCTGATGTGATTTTTCGGGAATTTCTTGCCGTAAATAAAATTCTCCATCAAGATTGATGCAAGTTATGTGGATATCTTCCTCGTAAGTGATAAAGAGTAAGCAGTACTGATGACACAACTCTAATTCGAAACTTGTTGTGAATATTGTGCCGTTTGTTCTAATGAAACTGTTTTTGAATTCAGTCGTATTCGGTAAAGACCTAAAGTGAATCAATTTTCCCAGAAAGCTGTAGCCTAGAAATCAAAATTTGGAAGATCGTAATTTGTACAAAACAAAGACATAAAGAGTGCAATGAAATAAATGATGTTTTTTACGAAAAAAAAAAATTAAAATATTTGTTTTAAACTGGAAGCCTACATCTGAAAATTTTCAGGGTAATGGATTTTATCAAAATTCAACTGTAAATATAAATGTTTGTAAATGCGTATGGACAGTGATTTACATCTTTTCTAAAAAAATGTTTTTCTTCAAAATTGTAAATATTATACAGGGTGATTTAAAATTCAGTATAAAGAATTTAGGGGCGTATTTTTGAGGTTCAAAATAATACTTTTTTCCTATAAATGTGGGACCACAAATGCTTAGTTTTCGATATACAGGATTTTTTTCGATTTTTTAGGAATAATCTCCAAACAGATTTGAATGTTGGCATAAAACTTGGGGTACGGGGGTTTTTTAGGATACTAAATTTAAATATGCAATTGCTTTTGACGCTGCTTGTACGGAGCGCCACCTATAAGGGTACGCTTGAATTAAATCGGTCCTAACTTTTTTACTACCCTGTACATTGACGTTTGTTATTAGTATGTTTATTTCCCTATCAATTATAAGCAAAAAAGGTCGAACTCCCTCAGACTAACCATTTCCGAGATATTACTTATGAAGAGTTAAATCCACATCATATTTTCAAATTTTATTAACTATTTAAGGTGAAACATTTTAAAATTTGTTTCCACCATCTAATCAGTAATGCAATGATCTTGAATTTTAGCTCTTTAAATTTTTTGACGGTAGTACTGTTACTATTCAGCAGTGATTTTTTTGAAATTGGTTAGTTGTATGAAAAAAATGCGAAGAGCTAAGTTTATAGGAAAAAAATCTTAGTCTGACCTCAAAAATATGTCCCTAAATTCTTTGTACCGAATTTTGAACCACCCTGTATAAAAACTTTGTCGGTGGTATCGATTTTGCATCAGTTGTATTTCACCCTGTACCTTATTTTTGTCATTGTTATTGGAAATTATCATCGCCTTACGAGGCAAATCTTAGATATTTTTCTTTCCAAACTGTTTCAAAGAGTCCTTTGAAAGGCTTTTCCCCTTTACCGTACCATTCAGAGAGACGTTTTCTTCTAATAGACTAGTTTGCTAAGCTCCTTTTTGTACCGTAACAGTTTGTTCATTTGCTAATAGAAGTTTTCATTGAGATCGGTTTATTTCCCCATTTCACGACCGGTCGATGAGGGGAACGTCAATAGTGTGTGTGAGAGTTCGGCTTTGTTTGCCGCCTCCGTCTCGGTTGAAAGTTATTTTTGTGTTTGCAGTTTTTTATGACGGTGTTATGTACACAACATTTAGTATAAAATAATTAAAAATAAAAATAATGGTGGCCAATTCATCATATCGTTATCATCATATCAATATCGTCATATCAATATCATCATACCAATATCATCATATCAATATCCTCACATCAATATCATCATATCAATATCATCATAGTAGCGGCACAGGTCTTGCTTTCATAGTACCTGCGAAATAGCAGGTTGCTCTCTGTCAGGGTTACCACTCATAACCACCAGTCAACGAGCCAAACCTGTCATATATATAT